CTGTGGGATTGTTCAGTCAGATAATACGCCGTCATCCTGATTGGTGACATTAAATGTCATGTCGGAGTCACAATCCAAGGCTGTCGCTATGTTAAGGCTGTTTTTATGGGTTCTGTTGGGTTTTCCTAAAAACCTGTCGATAGCAGGTTCTGGATTGTTAAGGGTCGATTATCGGGTCACAGCTGTATATATATATTTCGTCCAGACGTCATTAAGCACCACAGAAGTCTTTGTCATGGTCCCGTTGCTAGCTAAATCCCCACAATGCTCTCTGCTGCCAACAGGAAACCCTCCATAGTTTTGTGTTTATGTGAGTGTTTGTGGTGCGTTTGTAGGAGGTCGTTAACGGCAGCATCAAACCGACAACACTGAAGAAGACGACTTTAGTGGTTTTAGTGCAGGAGGAAGATGAAGATAGCGATCAGTGACTTTTCCTGGTAGCTGCTGGAGTTTTATTTCCTTAACCAGCCGTGTTACAGGAACTGTTCAGAAAAAAGCCTCTACGGTACGTATCTGTGTATGTTAATTAAACGTTTAAAAAAACAAATGTACAAAACTAGTTTTATTTTTAAAGTTAGTGGGTGCGGCTTATATTCAGGTGCGCTCAATAATCCGGAATTTATGGTACTATGTCTGGACCCTAATAAGGTTCTGTGGTTCTGCAGTGCTGTCCCGCAGAATGTTTTATAAGATTGGGATTCTTCAGGTAATCTTAAACTGATTCGGATCAGAACAAATCTAAGCCTGATCCTTTGTTTCACACCTGCGATAATACAGGCGTCACAAGGACAGAGCACATGTTGGGGCAGGATGCAGATTTAGAAGATTAGGAGTTCTTGTCGGAGATCATCAAGCGATTCGGTGTCCGTTGCTAGCTAAACCCCCACAATGCTCTCTGTTTGCCAACACAGGACTGCTGGTAGCCCACAGTTTTGTGCTTACGAGTGTGTTGTGAGATTAGAAAAAATCAGATAGAAAAGTTCCCTCTTCGACAACAGACAGAGGGAGTAAAGGAACGAGGAAAAAGTTGATGCTAATTCGCCGAAACACATCCGTCATCAGCTTTTAAACTCGTGAACTGCGGACCTCGGCTTTGTTCACATGTTTGGATGCTAATGAAGTTCCTGAAAACACACAAACCCGCAGTTCTCCGCTTCAACACGACAACGACAGCATGCTGCGTTGATTTCTTTAAGTCACAGATAAATACAATCAAATCCTGCTTTAATGCGGGAGGCCGCTCAGCATTAGCGGCTAATCCGCGTAATCTTTTATGTTTCACTGCAGTAATTAGGGTATCCACTCACCACTGTTTGCTCAGTGTAATGAGGGATTTGCTGTATTTTGTCACATATTCTCCGTCGCTGTATCCACGTCAACTTTGGCTGTTTTATAGAATCTGTGGACTCGGCCGCTAATCACAGAGGAGCCACCTGTTTCCTGTAATCCTCCCAATATTTCTGGATAAAATAATTCCGCGAGGCTGTGAAATACAAACGAAGGAGCGTCTTTGTGTTTTCGCCACCGATTCCGTCGGTTTAAGCCTCAGCGAAGCACCCGGAGCCACGGAGATAAATACCCCGGCTTTAATCTGCTTATTGTTTTGAGGGTTCACCGGTCGGCCCTCTCGTCGATCGGAACCGAGCGCCCCGAACTCTGAAAGGATTAGAGCGTAAGAAATGCAATCTTTGTTGTTTCGAGGCTTCTTTGTGTAATGAAGCGTCGCGGTAAACAAAAACAGTTTTTGTATTCATGCAGTGGAATAAAAACAATAAATTACATTTGCGAACACAAGCCTGAACACTGAGGGGACGCGCTCGTTGTTCTCATTGTTGGTTTAGTTTCGAGGTGTTTGCTGAAATAAAGGTGTGAAAAGTATACCTACCGACAACGGAGGGCACCGCGTGGATGTGGCTTCACAACAAAGGTTTATCGTTCTGTTTGCATTTCTTGCTCTCCATCTGCTATCCTGCTATCCCCACCCCAACCGGTCGGTCCCTGAGCCTGGTTCTGTTGGGTTTTTTTTCTCTCTATTGGGTTATATTTTGGTTCCTTCCCACCGTTTGCTCAGAGGAAGTCCAACGGCAGCTCTGGGTGGTTGGGTTCTCTGTTCAAAATTCGTACGGTCTGTAACTTACTGTGTCAAACGCTGTGAGACGACAGATGTTGTGAATTCACACGATATAAATAAATTGATTTTAATAGTTTTGGATTCATTAATCCTTTTCTGATTTAGCACAGTGTCCTCTACAGGACAGATTTAGGGATGATTTTTAAGACCACCTGTTGTTGTCTCTCTACACAACTTCTGAATTAATTCTAATTTTTAAAATCACTTCCTGAAAACCACTTGTATACACTTATATCTTTTATGTAATGATGTCCATTTTATTGACCTATTTTATTCTGCTTTACCATTTTCTTAATGATTTCCTTTTCCTGTTTAACTAATTCATTATTATATCTACCTTTGTTTTTTATGGTTTTACTCTGTTCTTTCTAATATACTACATATTGGTTTCTCTTAATTGGATATGGCATTTATAATCATGTTTCTATATATTGGGATATATTATTATTATGTATAATAAATAATTACAACATCTTGTAATAATTCAATACCTGAAATACCTCGAAAATATGATGTATTGAAAATGTAAAAATGTAAAAATTAATATTAGGTGGCTGAAATATTTTTTGGAGTCAACGTTATTTGGTGCTGAAGGCATTTATGTAAAGAACAGATCATCGTAACTAAAGTCCCACTCAACAATGTCAAAAAAAAGATTTTTGCGAAATGACAAGAAGACGAAAATGGAGGCCGTTGTTGCCAACTGGCTTGGAATCAGTAAAACAGCTGTTCAGCACAACCTGAAGAAGAAAATGCAATAAGAGACAAAGGACGAGGCAGAAAACAGCACTCACGGCGTTCTAATAATTATTTCTACACTGAGACGCCCGGCGCACATTTCTGGACAGAAGTGGAAGACAGAGATCGATGCTGTGAGCCGCTGACGTCGGCCTGCTGGCTGGAGAGAAGGTACTTCTGGGACTGCGGGCATGTTTTCCGAACAGATGGAAGGCTTTTCAGAGACATGTCGGTTGGATCTCTCGGGATCTGAAGTGGACGCTCGACACACAGAACACAATCAACAAAGAGGACCCAGCAGAGGATGAAGCTGAACCTGCCCGAGGAGCCGCTGAGCCTTTTCTACGCTGCAGTAATCCAAACTGCTCTCTGCACTTCAAGCTACTGTCAGGTCACGAATCAGGACGGAAACCAGCTGCAGCATACCGTCAGTACCGCAGAAAACAACACCGACCTGCCTTCTGTCTGGGACAATAGGTTCTGGTCGATCGAGGCATTTTTTAACTGATCGGTATCGACTTCAACCTAAGATTCCTTGTTGAGGTCCGTTGTGGTGCAGCTGTAGAAGCAGGAGGCTAGTATAGGATGCTAGTTATGGTTTGGAACTCTGTCCTTCCCGATCCCAGCACGTTTTAAACATATGAGCTCTGTTTGTAGGTCACATAAGACTTTGTCATTGTGCCAACTGTTAGCTAAACCTTAACAATGCTCTCTGCTTGCCTCCTCTGGTGGAACAAACAGGTACTACAACTAATCTACCATCTGTTTTCTGATATACATGTCCTTCGTCTTATACTTTGTCATTTTGTGTCTTGTTTTTGGAGGTTTGTGTGTTTTTTTTGTGATGCTTTTTGCCTCATTTGTCTCCTTACTTGCTGTTTTCTGTCTTGTTAACTCTGGCTAGTATTCACGAACCGTCACAGAAGTCTCTGTCATGTTCCCGTTGCTGCTAAACTCCCACAATGCTCTCTGCTGCCACCATGAACTGTAGTCTGAGTGACACCTCCTCTGGTCTCTACAGGATTAAACAGTGAGAGGCTCCACCTGGTGGAACAACCAGGTACTACAGCTGATCTACAATAGATTTTCTGAGCTGCATGTAGAGAATACAGATTTTCTGTTAGAGCTTGTGGAGTCACTGAACACCCTCCACATTCACTGTTAATGGACACTCAGCTGTGCTAGCATTTGAAACTCCTAGCTGAGCTTTTTTAGCGTGCGGTAGCTAGCTAAATGGGACAGCAACTTAATGCTGCAGAGTTCATAAACACGAACACAGGAAGGGCGGTTGTTTGATGGACCCTTACAGGCGGTCACAAACACACCTGTAACTCCATCTCAGTAAATCATACGAGATGCCACCTGGTGGAACAACCAGGTACTACAGCTCGTCTAAAATGCATTTTCTGACATGCAGTTCGATGTTAATGAAAACAGAACTTTTAGGTGATAAAACCAGTTTACATTTGGACATTTGACAGGATGCTACATCACTTATCCTCTGGTGTTCACTGTCTTCATGTGTGCACGGCCAGCGTGGTGTTAAATTCCCTTTATTGTGTGACTTCTCTGACAGACTTCATCCACAAACAGCACAATGCGTTGCAGCCAAATTCTTTTTACATTTCTGTTAATAATCTCTGACTTCATCTTTATTTAGACGTTAAACTCAGTTGTTGTCAGCTGAGCGTTACTATGATGCTCTTTTTCGGGATGAATGCGTCTTATCTGAGCTATACTCTGAGCGAAGAACGTTTCCACTCCTGAATGGCTGAGTGTAATTCCTGGAAGTTTGATAAATGCGTAAGTGTGAATGCTCTTCAGTGAGATAAAGCGTTGCTTTTTAGAGGGAATTAAAAAGCAGTTACTTTCAATCTAATGAGGGGAAATAAAGAATTATCTGCTCTTGCATTTTGGCTGCGTTACTAGAAGTGCTTCCACACAACCAGATAAACGTGATCTATTGAAGGAGAACCGGCTGAGAAAGCCTGCTCTCTTCCAAACCCTGCATTAACTGTATCTGTACGCTCGTATAACTGAACCTCTGCTCAGTGCGACCACAGCTGAACATGCTGCGACGTCTTTTGCATCTATATATCGTGGTTGAAATGACGCCCACGTGGGGGCTTACCCTCCATGCTGCATCCGGGGCCCATGCAGGGCTGGAAGTCCTGAGTGTGGGGACACGGGGCGCTGAGGTCCAGCTGGGCCTTCAGCATCCTCTGCCTCATCCGGCGACCTTTTTCACACGTGGCGCTGCTGCAGGCCGACCACGGCGACCAGCCCGAGTAGATGCACGTCTCCGGAGTGTCGTCTGAGGGGAAAAGATGGAGGGACGGTGACCGGGTGAAGAGCATTTTATGACCAATCAGCTGCTGAATGCTGGCAGTTAAAGCTGCTTTTACAAAACTTGATTTTCTGAAAGTTCTGTTATTCTGGTGCTACTGGACCCGACTGCTGCCTTTGACAACATGGAGCCTTTTTTATATCTCATCTCGCACCGCATGTAGGCATCAGCGTTACTAAACCTGAATGGTTTGAGTCTTATCTGAGAGATTAAAGCTTCTCAGTTCACTTTGGCAAATATTCTTTGACCTGCGGAGTCCCTCAAGGCTCCATATTGGGCCCAGTGCTGTTCACACTCAAATTACATTAAACACAAAAAACTAACTAATTACTTAATTTTAGTTAATATGACAGGATTATTAATATAATATATAAAACAATTTCATGAATTAAATGTGAGAATCAGGCAGCCATAGTGCCAGGAAAAAAATGAATAAATCATTTAAAAACGTTGCAATACTGTGATGTTAAAAAACTGTACCAGTAAAAAAAATAAATAAAAATCAATAAGCTGTAAAATAAAGATATTTTCAAGCTGCTTGAAAAAGTATTTATCAGCTTGACAGTTAAAAAAATAACAAATGGTGGAATTTCATGGTCACACATTGTAAAAGAACAAATTACTATTTGTAAAAATGCAGATTGTCGACGTGGACTTTTTTTTAATAGTTAACATGTAAATGAATATTTTTTTTCTGTGACTTGACAAGTTAAAATGTGTAATTTAGCAAAACAGTAAAAAAAAATCTGCAAAATGACAATTAATAGGGTTTTTAAAAAGATCATTTTTCTTTGAAATAACGGCAGATATCTGTAAAATAGTTTTGCTGATTTAAACAGAAAAGTGTAAATTTATAGTCAAACACTAACAGACCATTTGTAATTTATGTGATTTTAAAGTTGTTGTTTTTTTTATATATATTCAACATGTAAATGAATGTTTTTTTTTCTTTAAATTTTACTGGTTATTATCTGTAATCTAAAAAAAGGGCAAATTTGTAAAAAAAAAAAAAAAAAGAGTAAATTTCTCAAGAAATTACAGTTAAAACTTTAACTTCATCTTGTATTTTGCTGTGTCTATTTATCATCCTTTCACGTTAGTCATTGTGTTTTAAAGGTTGCTTTTTATTTGTAACAACACAGACGTTTGGTTGAACTCTGTTGTTTTAAACACATTTTCTAAACACACTGAGAAGGAGCTCATCGGTGCTGCTGCTGACTCTGATGATGTAAATGCATGTGAAGCTGCCGCTAGTCGACCAAACAGTGACGTCTGAGCGGTGACGGGAAGCAGGAGGATGATTTGTGAACGTCTTGTCCAATTATCAGCTGCTGGCAGAGCCACGAGGAGCAGCAGAGCTTCAATTAATAACGCTCTCCTGAGGCCGAGAGGATCCGGCGTCGGACCGCTGGGACGGACCCGAGCCAGTCCGGTTCTGCAGGATAACATGTAATGACAGAGGAGGAGGAGGCGAAGGAACCGCGGAGTTAAGACCCCTGCAGCTCTGGAGGGAACGAGCCTGAATGGATCCGGTGTCATCTCCCGCCGAGACGAAGCCGAGGACAGACGAGAGGAGGGAAGGAAGCGAACTGACGGAGCAGGACGTTTATTAGACAGCAGGAGATCCTTGTTAGGAATCCTGCTGCGTGGACAAAATCCTGCACACTGATGCAGAGAACAAACAGCGTCCCGCTTAAACCGCCACCCGGGATGAAAACCAGCTCGTTCTGCAGCCAGAAGGTCACACATCAGCTGCAAGAGGAGAGCTGCTCGGCGCATCCTGCTGAGCAGAAGTTAGATAAGGTGAATGAAAGTCCACCACAGTTCACACCGTCACGCCTGCTTTAGTGGATTCTGTTCCATTAGTTTACATTAACAGTTTTCATTCTTTAAACTTTGGCTGCAGAACTTTCTGTTGATATCAACGCGTCCATCGAGCGACGTCCGTGTGCTTTAACGCTGATCTACAATCTGGGTTTTCTTGTGCTGTTCACCTCTTGGTGGTTTTTTTTCATTGTGTTGAGTTGCAGGTGGCAGCAGGTGAAGTTACTTTAACCTGGACTGTAAAAACAAAGATCAACACCTGATTTTAAATGCTGAAAGAAGTATTTAAGGAGGAATTAACCTTTAAAAGTACAAGTACTGTGCATGTTCTGAAGGCACANTAAAATAAAATAAAATAAAATAAAATAAAATAAAATAAGGGGCAGCAGTGATTAAAAAAAAAGAAGAGAGGGCCTACAGTCGGGACGATTGATGGTAGAAATTAGGAAAAAGAGGGAAAAGGAGGAATGAGGAAAAATGAGCCCAAAGTGAGGTAATTAAAAATAAAAAAATTCAATTTTTTAAATCTCCACAGTGAGAAAAAATGTTTGTAGAAATAAGGAAAGTTGAGAAAAATGAGGAACGAGGAAAAATGAGCCACAGTCAGGTTAAAAATAATGAAAAAAATAAACAATTTATTATTATTATTATTAATAATAATAATAATAATAATAATAATAATAATAATAATGATTAAATCTCCACAGTAAGAAAAAATTAGTTCACAGTAAAGAAAGTTAGAAAAAAAACACCATAGTGATAAAAAAAAAAAAAAAAGAGCAGAGAAAAAAGGAGCAGCAAATGTCTGCAGCAATGAAGAAAACGAGGGAAAAAGAGCCCAGAGTGAGGCTAAAACAATAAAATAACATAAAATAAATTCTAATGGTGAGGAAAGACAACAAAAAATAAATAAATGAGCCGACAGTGAGACAGAAAAGCTCCACAAGAAGGAAGGAAGAAGCCTCATAGTGAAATATAGAGATAATAAAAAGAGCCCAGAGTGAGGAAACATGTGAAGAACAAAGAGGCTACAGGAAGGAAACATGAGTTTACAGGAAGGAAACAGATTCCCATGTCAGTAAAACGATCCCAGTACCTGCTCACACATGTTCTGCACATACAGACCCAAACCCAAACAAGCCTCTGATCTTTAGACCTGTAGTCGGTACCGGTCCAAACATCAGAGCCAGAAGCTTCCCGGAGCAACTGGCAGAGGTCTGGTTCTGTCCCGGTGAGCCTTCTGACGAGGATTCACCGGCTCCCTCTGCAGGAGAAGCTCGTTGCTTATTCATGAGCTCGTAAACTATAAATAAATCGCTCTGTGAATGTGGATGAGCGCAGCGGCGGCGCCGAGTCCCGGCCGAGCGTCGGCGTGAACTTCAGGCGTCGCCAGAACCATCAGATCAACCCAAAGATCGACCGAAAGCTGATAAACCGCTGAGCTCGGCTACGCGTTGGAGGCTGCATGTGTTCACGGAACCGACCGGATCTGGAACAAGTTCCCACCTGAACCCCCTCACAGTCGACTTCTTTAATGAAGTTCTACCTTCAGACTGTGAATGTTCCAGAGGTCCAGGTCCTTNAATCACTGAAATGTTATTAAATGTCAATTTATTGAATCTTTAGTTACTTACAGGAACTTTGTGGGGCAACAGTACCAGCCTCACTTTGACATTTTTGCACTTTCAGACCTATTTTGAGTCATTTTGGATAATTTGAGCCACTTTGGGACCTGGAACCAGAACCTTATCTGGTCAAACTGTCCACAAATCAGGTTCTGCTGATGTTAGAACCTCAACAGTTGGTAAATGTGACCAGAGACTGGATTCTAGTAGAACCATGGATCCATCCATAGACAGACACTGACAGGAACTTTCTGGATCAGCACCAGCCTGGTTGGAGGTTTTTTTTCATTGTCAGTGGCCAATGATTATTCATTATTGTTTATTTCGACAATTTTTAGTAATTTGGGGCCATATTTTAGTAATTTTAAACTATTTTATGTCAGTTTTAGGCAAATTTTGTATAATTTTTAGTCAATTCTTGGACAATTAAGGTGCTTTTTGGACTAATTTATGACATTTTTGTGTTATTTTTCCATTATTTGGAGTCATTTTAGAGAATTCTGAGTCATTCTGGACACGTTTCGAGTCATGCAGGACAATCACGAGATGTTTTTTGGGGACACACAGGAACTTTCTGGAGCCACAACACCAGCCTGGATTACACATTTTGCACTTTCACTTCCCTATTTTCACTGTCATATAATTCAAACCGTGTCCTCTGCTGGATCCGTTCAATCATCCTGATCCGATGGAAACTATCCTGTCTGAGTCCTCACCACAGTTCACGGCTGTTGGAGGTTTGTTTCTGGAGATATTCAACCTTTAACTTAACTTTAGGAAAACCTAAAATCTAACTTTACCTTCAGGTGTAATCATGTGCTCATTTACTTTACTCCAGCCTCCTCTAAAGAAACTAAACTATTCACATGAAGGAAGCGTCTGCTGAGCCTCACAGTCAGAGCTACAGGACCTGCATCCCAGAACATCAGGTGCATCTGATGAGGGCAGGACTCGTTCCAGACACGGTGGCGTTGCTCTGCGGCGGCGGCGGGATGCAGACGAACCCTGCCAGATGCGTAACGTGACCATCTGACCTCCGTCTGAGGCTTTGATGAGCTCGTGTGCGTCCTTGAGCATCAGCGAAGTCTGAAAGCTCAAGCTGCGTGACTCAACAGTCAGCGCTCAGGAATGTGACATCTCGTAATGACAGGGTTCGACGGGTCCGCTAAACAACTCCAGCGAGCTCTGTGAGTGGACCCATTGTTTCTCTGAATCACTATAATCAGGGAAGGTGTGTTTACGGTACCTTCCTCCTTCTCCTCCTGCCCGATGTCGGCCACGATGTCGTCGATGGTGTCGGGCACCACGTTGCACTGTTCTCCCTGTGCAGACGAAGGAACAGACGGCGTCACAAAATATGTCCAGAAAGTCTCACAAAGCAGATTTAGTTTCCTTATACAAACATTTCAGTCCATCTACTGGCTTGTTTTTAGGGTTCAGAAAGATGGAGCTGTCCTTATTTTAGGGAATTTTTTAACCGACTGGTATCTGCTCGGATCTAAACTCGATCCTTTATTTTGTAAGTTTGTTGTAAGTGTTGTGAAGGAAGAACACAATGAGTATCAGCACGCTATGGATGCAAATTAAGAAAATAGTTTTCTTAATCAATAACTGGCAGCAGTATCAATCTATAACTGACTGACTGATAACACAACTTGGTCAAAGTTCGCCGTGTGCTAAAGCTGCTGCTACAGTCAACAGACAAATGATTTGGAGTCTAAATGTGACTTTTGTTTGGGAAAAATAAAGTTTGATCCTATTTTATCGTATTTTAAATGCTAGCTGGGATCTAAGGAGTTGATTCCAGTTTGTTCTAAACACATGAGCTCTGGTTGGAGGTCATCAACCTCCTCAGAGTCTCTGTCATGGTCCCGTTGCTGCTAAACGCCTCCTCTGGTCTCTACAGTATTAAACAGTGAGAGGCTCCACCTGGTGGAACAACCAGGTACTGCAGCTGGTCTACGACACATTCACTGACTTCACATAAGGAATACAGGTTTTCACCGTGTTATGGAGCTTATAGATTCACCCTCTAACCCTCTCTCACAGACACTCAGCTGTGCTAGCAATTGGACCTCCTAGCTTAGCATTGTTAGCATGATTGTCAGGTAGCTAGCCAAACTGGACAGCAGGTAGACATCATTTTACAACTTGATGCTGCAGAGTTCATCAACGCTACCACAAGGAGGTGCACTTGTTTTATGGACCCTTAGAGTCAGTCAGCAGACACACCTGTAACTCCGTCTCAATAAGCGGTAAGAGGCTCCACCTGGTGGAACAACCAGGTACTACAGCTGGTCTAAGATACATTAACTGACTTCACGTAAGGAATACAGGTTTTCTCCATCCGTTGGAGCTTGTGGAGTCCATCCTGTCCTCTAACACTACATTTCAGAAAGTGTTGTACCGGAGTTTTACAACAAGGTTCCACCTACAGAACATCAAGAAACAAACTGGAGGCAGAAATATATATATTTTTTAATGCATTGCAGAGTTTTTCAATTGTCTAGCAGATACAGAGGACTGCACGGGTTGCATTTTATCCAACTCACTAACAATTATCCACAGCTGAGGGGTTTTTGGTGTTAGAATGATTCTCCTGCTCGTCTACAATCACCTGAAAATACGAATCACTGCTTTTCTTAGCTTAGAACGTTCTGTGTTACAGTGCTTTTGATGTGAACAATGCGTTCCTTGAAAGTACAGTTTCAACATATCTAAAGCTGGTAGATACCTAAACAGTACATAATGGAGGTCAAGGGTCTCCTCATGGGAACAGATAGTTCTATATGCATGTGTTTGAGATTGTTTCTAGAATGTTGATTTAAAACTCACTCAGACATCATTTTTACCTTTCTAGCGATGCGCTCCACCACCACCTTGGCTACAGGAGTGATGGCGCCCCCCTCAGGGTCGTAGAAGGGGCTCTGTGGGTGGTCCAGGCTGGTCAGGGGCCGGATCTTCTCCTGAGGGTTGGTGGGCTTGTTGGGCGACTGGAAGGAAGGCAGAAAACGGGCCGTAAGCGAGCTAAGAACGTGACATGAAGCGTTTAAATAACATTTTTATAGCTGTGTGTGAATAAAGGGTCATAATCATCATCCACTCTGCAGCTACGTGTCGCTTTAGCCTCTTTCAGCTGGTTTTTCTACTTCATGCCCAGCGTGGGCGGAGGCTGCAGGAAGAAATGAGGGTCTTTGAGCATCAAACACGTCAATCTGATGAATTCAACCAATACAAGCGCTGCAAGCATTTCACAGCCAGAAGATACATTCAGCAGAACTAGACTGTGAATATATTAGAGAACATGTTTAGATACAAGAAGATCATGTTTGGAAGATGATCAGCAGGTAAAATGGTCCTTCCATGGTCTAGAACTGGTTCTGACCAACCACCATCACACATGCTGATATGAGCCTGGAAAGTTTACCCAGAATGCACTTTGTAAAGTTTCCTCTGGTGAATGTTCAGAACCAGAACCACATCCAGGGTACCAATGATTGTTTCTATGACTCTATGTCATAGACATTAAACTGGTACCACCATGAGACATCCCATAATACTGATGCTACCAGCTGGTTATGGAGCAAAATGCTCAGAACATGCTCTACAGAACTTTAAATCTGTCCAGAATGACACAAAACGGTCAAAAGACTCAATCTTCCAATATATATATATTTTAATTTGTCAAACTGATAAAATCCATCCACAGTGACTCACAAATTGGCCCCGAAATCAAGAAAACGGCTTGAATTCGACCGAAATTACTTACAAATTCCCCAAACTGATTTAAAAAACCACTGAGGATGATTCAGTTTCACCAAAACAAACCAAAAGTTGTTCAAAATGCCAGAAAATTGGTTCAGTGCATCAAAAATCTGTCCAAACGTAGTGAAAACTTAAATGACACCAGAATAGTTTTTAATAGAAAAAAATGGTGCTGAACAGAAACCAGATCCAGTGTTCAGACTGAGACACCTGGATGGATGTAGAACTGATCTGGTGTCAGGTTCTACCAGAACCCAGATGTGTTCTTCCTCCTAAATGTCATGTGTCTATCTGCTGTACTGATGAAGTTCTGAGGCTCAGAAATGATGGAAAAAGTCCATTAAGGTGATCAATCTGGACCCTCCTCTGTGGACTTCAAGGACCTGGACCTCTAGAACATTCACAGTCTGAAGGTAGAACTTTGGTCAGTAGATGAAGGTGCTGCAGATACAGAACCAGCTGGTTCTGAGGAGGTTAGAGGGGAACTTTTCTTCTTTAGATCTACTTAATTGCCGCTGCTAATTGCAAATGCGTGACGATGCACAAGAAAACTCCATCATTAGGAGAGGCCGTACGAGGAGATTCTTCGTCATCCACACCTTCACAAATCATCATTACAAGAGTTCTGATGTTGCGGCTGCTGGACTTTGGAGATGTTCAGAAGTTCTAAGTCCTCCAGATGTGCGTTGCTGCGTCCGTCCACTGAGCTCGGTGCAGCTCAGGAGGACTCCACAGGTTGGTCTGTAACTAGCTGCTAACTTGTGAACGGTGCAGCCTCCATCCACAGGTGTGTTCCTCTGCGTGGGATGAGATGATGGTATGAGTGAAGTCACTTTCAAAGTCGACGTCGGTCATGCAGAAAAGATGAATTAGCCTGTAGGTGATAGGAAGCTGCTGCCGAGTGGCGGCGTTCCCATGTGGGCACAAAAATCAATTAATGCAGATTAAAGTAACGTCTCTAAGAGCCGCTGGAACATTTCAACCTTCCTGGACAGGAACATTACAGCAGAGCGCCATGAGGAGCTCCCAGGAGGAGGACCCCCCGCTGCACCCACCTCTGAATCTTTTAGCACTACAAGGCCCTTTTACCGCTCGCTGCCGAGGCACCCAGCTTCAATGTGAATCTGAAGGTGAGTCGGCTCTGACGGACGTGCAGGAAGACGGCGCGGCGGGTGAAGATCAGGTCGCGATGTGGAGGGGAAACAATCCCAAACTCCCACACTGGCAGTCGGTGTTGAAGGTGGGAGTCCTGCAGGAAAACATCTGCTCCGGTACGCCGCGTATCAAAGACGCCTGAGGGGAGCCGGCCTCAGCCCTCCGCCGCTCGCAGTAATCAAAGTTAAACAGACAAAACTCAGGGACGAGGGAATTATTTGCGGGACAAGAATACTAATCGGACAGCAGCGCTCAGCGGATGCATGTCTGTGAAACAGGCTTTCAGGAGGAGAACAATGTGGTTCCTCTGGAGGGAAGCAGCGCTTAATGAAAGTGAAAGTGCTTCAGTAGAGGTTTGGGTTGAAGAACGCCTCAGAGACTCTGAAAGATCACATGTAGACTGAGAGATGTTTAACTCTCCATCGGTACCTGAACTAATCATGTGGTGTTCTCATCCAAACTTAATTTACTCCACGTCTCGTTAAAACAAACAGTTTGCATCGATCGTATTCTGTTAAAAAATAAAATCATTCTTCTTGGTGCAAACAAAAATCCACGACCAGCAGTCAGAGGCTCCAGGTTGAACTGCAGGAAGTGTTTGGCTCAGAACCAGAGGACGGGGAGCCAGTGGTTGGAGATACATCCAGCATGGAGGAACATCTTTCTACATGATGGTGGAACATCTTTCTACAT